TCAGAGGGAGAAGCAGACTCCCCGCCGAGCAGGGAGCCCGATGCGGGACTCGATCCCGGGACTCCAGGATCATGACCTGAGTTGAAGGCAGTCGCCTAACCAACTGAGCCACCCAGGCACCCAAGACATGCTCACTTTTCCAAAACATGGTTGTTTTTAAGATTTAACGTGGTGAAATTAAACTTCTCAGGCACTGGGGAATCTGTTAAAGAACTGTATGGAGTATCCTTCCACTGTACATGCATGCACATCTAATTTTTAGATGTCTAGAATGAATGCATTATACTTTTCTTTCTGGTAGCCACATTGATGGCCATAAAATAACCTTATCTCTTCTTTTTTCTTGCTCTGAATGTTTCCAAAATCAAGTAGTTGCGTATTACGGGTCTGGGGTCCACCGGAGTGCCCCTGAGGGGCCAAGCCTTCTGTGGTCCAGAGTTGGCTCTGGAGCTCACAGCCACCGCTCTGACCCTCTGCAGATGTCCTTCGGCCTTCTTCGTGTGTTCTCCATTGTGATCCCCTTTCTCTATGTCGGGACGCTCATTAGCAAGAACTTTGCCGCTCTACTTGAGGAGCATGACATTTTTGTTCCAGAGGATGACGACGACGATGACTAACAGGTAAGACTTCCCTTTCTCCTACGTGGACCAGGAACAGGAAGGGGGTGGGGCATCTAAACTCTGATGCAGTTTGCCCTGGTAGCAGTTTCTGGTCCCTTGAAACGGAAGTGTAGACCTTTAATAAGTTGACTCACTTGGCTGTTTTTATTTTGCCTTTGCTCTATGTTGATGAGAAAAACTATCTTACTGCCTTAAAAATTCACTGGGATGGGGCGCCTGGGTGGCTCAGTTGGTTAAGCGGCTGCCTTCAGCTCAGGTCATGATCCCAGGGTCCTGGAATCGAGCCCCGCATCGGGCTCCCTGGTCAGCAAAGAGCCTGCTTCTCCCTTTCCCTCTGCCTGCCGCTCTGCCTGCCGCTCTGCCTGCTTGTGCTGTCTCTCTGTCAAATAAATAAATTTTTCAAAACCTTTAAAAAAAAAAAAATTCACTGGGATGGGGCGCCTGGGGGGCTCAGTCAGTTAAGCATCTGCCTTCAGCTCAGGTCAGGATCTCAGGGTCGAGGTGGAGCCCCGGAGCCCCATGTCGGGCTCCCTGCTCAACAGGGAGTCTGCTTCTTCCTCTCCCTCTGCCCCTTCCCCCCTGCTCTTGCTCTTTCTCTCAAATAAATAAAATCTTAAAAAAAAAAAATTCAATGGGATCTCTTCCAACTGGGTTGATCCTAACCAGACTTTTTGTCTTTTATGTACCCTTATTCTCTCAACCCACAAGTTTTCTTAACAATTTAATGCCTTACACACCCGTCCCAAACAGCTTCATTCTCCACATTGAAATTTAGAAACTGCAGGTCTTCACCATGGTCAGCAAGGTCATCAAACTCTGTGCCTGTTCCATTCAGCTTTCTGGTGTTGGCTTCTGGTGTTCTAATACGTGCTGCTTGGCTGCCTTTCTGTTGTGGTTAAGGACAGTTCTGGCTCCGGAGTCTGACATTCAAGCTTGCCATGACCTGGTCACACTGGTTATTCCAGCCTCATCTTCCATATTCCCAACAGCACACCTATCCCCAATATCCACTATTTCTTGAATTACCCACATGCTTACCACTCCCAAGCAGTGGCTCTTCCTTCCAATTGGAAGGCTATTATTTCTCACTACCCCTTTTTTTTTTTTTTTTTCATTTGAGAGACAGACAGACAGACAGCACAAGCAGGGAGCCCTATGCGGGGCTTGATCCCAGGACCTGGAGATCATGACCTGAGCCGAAGGCAGGCGCTTAACCATCTGAGCCACCCAGGTGCCCCTGTTTCCCACTACTCTTACTTCCACCCATTCTTCACTGTCTTTGATGAAGTCTTCCCTCATTCCTCCATTTGAAAGTGACTGCTGTGCCCTCTGACTGACCAGTACCTCTTGTGACAGTATTATGTGCTTCAGCACACAGGCACACCCCCAAATTCTACTAGACTGGGAGTTTCTTGCTGGCAAGGAACATGGTTGTTTGTTTTTTTGTTTTTTTTTTTAAAGATTTTATTTATTTATTTGACAGAGAGAGAGAGAGCTAGAGAGGGAACACAAGCAG